AACTGCAGTTTTATATCCTTAAACCAATCATTTCCCCATTGTTAAAAGACCCACATTGAAGCCTAATAGCCACAATTCTGCTCTCTGCTCCCATAAGTTCATCATTTCTAGGTTACACATAAATTGAAATTGTGTGACATTTGTCTTCCAGTGTGTCACTTATTATTTTTTTTTTGGCAAGCATATAACTTTACTACTTACTAAAGATGAAATCAAATTTGCATGCACAGGTGAGCACTCACTGAAACACCTTGGATTCATTACATATTTGAGTTTCAATTAGCTTTATATATATATAAAGACCAATAATGGCAATATGTTATGCATCAATAGCAGCAACAGCTTTTCCAGGTTCTGCAGTCACTTGAACAAAAATAGAGACATCCAGCACACTTCATTTTAAAAAAACAAAAAACAAACAAAAACAAAAACAAAACAAAAAAAGGAAAAAACAAAATCCCAGAAAACAGCACAGTTCTGTTACTCTTGTGGTACTTGGCACCATAGAACTCCATTGTGTAAATGTACATTTTTTCTATCCATTCTTTGGTTGCGGGGCATCTAGGCTGCTTCCAGTTTCTGGCTATTACAAATAATGCTGCTATGAACATGGTTGAACATATGTCCTTGTTGTATGAATGTGCTTCTTTTGGGTATATGCCTAGGAGTGGAGTTTCTGGATCTTGTGGTAGACTCATTCCCATTTTCTTGAGGAGTCACCATACTGATTTCCACAGTGACTGTACAGTTGGAACTCCCACCAGCAGTGGAGGAGTGTTCCTCTTTCTCCACATCCTCTCCAGCATAGACTGTCATTGGTATTTTTGATTTTAGCCATTCTGACAGGAGTAAGATGGTATCTCAGAGTTGTTTTGATTTGCATTTCCCAAGGATGTTGAACACTTTCTTATGTGTCTTTCACCCATTTTAGATTCCTCTATTGAGAATTGTCTATTTAGTTCTGTACCCCACTTTTTAATTGGATTGTTTGGTGTTTTGAAGACTAGCTTCATGAGTTCTTTGTATATTTTGGAGATCAGCCCTCTGTCAGATGTGGGGTTGGTGAATATCTTTTCCCAGTCTGGATTTTTAGCTTCTTTAATTGGGGTTATATTCCAGAGGATATTGGAGGAAACAAATGCAACATACTATATTGTATATTCATATGGAAATCTGAAATAGTAAAGGAAATAACTATAAGGAAAAATTTCATGAAAACATACATTATTAAATCTTCCTTTTGTACAAAAATTATAATATAGGCTATTTTCCCTTACCAGTATTTCATAACATAATTAACAAAATGCAGCAAATGGCAAATATATCATTCAATTTCCTAAAATGAAAAAAGAAAGAGTCCTTTTTGCTTCTCTTATTTTCACATGTTGGTCTACAGCAATGTCTTTTGAAAGTACTCTTGACTTATTTACCACTTGATAGAAGGAGAGAACTGGCTTCTGTAAGTTGTTCTGTGATCTTTCCACATGCACCGCAGCATGCACATGCACACACAGTACTCTGGGATTCACTCAGAGATCCTCTAGAAGAACAGCCAGTGCTCTTACCTGTTGAGCCATGTCTCCAGACACCTGCACATATTTTAAGACAAGGCCAATATTTATAACAGTACAGAAAATGATGATGATTGATGGTGATGATGATTGATGATAACGATTTCTAAGATAGTTATAGTTGAAGTAAAAGGAACTAAGGCTGGGCGGTGTTGGCACATGCCTTTAATCCCAGCACTTGGAAGGCAGAGGCAAGCAGATGTCTGTGAGTTCGAGACCAGATTGGTCTACAAGTGCTAGTTCCAGGACAGCCTCCAAAGCCACAGAGAAACCCTGTCTCAACCGCTCCCCCCACAAAAAAAGAAATAAAAGGAAATAGCATGTTTGTTACACAAATGATAAGAGTTCCACCAGTTTGGGCTTGCGGGTTGGGGGGGGGGAGCTGTGGGTTTCAGCCACTAGGGTGCCTAGTTGCTCTCTGACTTTTCCTCTATCCTTACCCCCACTGGAAGAGAGGACTCCCTCTGCTTCTCTGCCCTGCAAGCGAATGTTCTGTCCCTCACCAGCCCATCATGTGTAGAGCCAGGTCTCACTGCACCAAAGGCTCTTTTTGTTTGTTTGTTTGTTTGTTTTGGTTGGTTTTTCGAGACAGGGTTTCTCTGTGGCTTTGGAAGCTGTCCTGGAACTAAAGGCTCTTTTTAGACCATTACAGAACCCAGAAAAATGTTGACCACACTTCTCTCCACCTTCTATGATATCTGTTTCTTGAGAAAAACAGAGAAATCCCTGGCACACCCTGAACAAGAAGCAACACAAGAATGCAGTTGGGACAACTAAGCCTGCTGTGCTCAGTTTGAGCTTCACATTAGACTTCGGGTGAGGCCACTGAGCTAGCAACCTCCAGGAGCTTGACCACCTGGTACCCAGTCTAGGCAGCTGTTTGCCCAAGTCCCAGGGTCCCCTAAAAGGGCAGCTGCTGTCCTGCACTCAGGTGGCCTGGTCTCCTATAGCCAGCTCAATGAGCCTTCAAGGTGCCTCGACTTGGTGCTGGTCAACAAGAAGAGCAAAGTCCCTGACTGCTCCTTCAACAGACTTTGATCTATGCACTATGTCAAGTTGTGGTTTCCTGCAGTGGTCTCCATTTGCTCTATGAAAATCTTCTTGGGTGCGAGTTACAGCTACCCTCATCTGTGGGTTTAAGGGTAAATTTTGGACTATAGTTAGGTATTATGTGGGCCTAGTAAAGTGTCAGTAGTAGGCCTCTTCTAATAACCTTAACTATCATCCCTAGGAGATGGCTAGTGGCTTCTCACATTTTAAAAGGACCTTAGTTCAATTTGGCAGATACTGGTTCCCACCAAATGAGAGTCACTCTTGCACCTTCAGGGACACTTGCCATGCTGGTCAGTACTGTGGTTCACAGGCATCACCACTGGATAGGACTAATGACTCTTACCTGTCAGCTTACATAGTATCTTATAGTCCTGTGACAGATGAGGTCTTTTATTTACACCTGTATTTGTTTTGCAAGTATTTTATTTAGAATTTTTGCATCTATGGCCCTCAAGGATATTAGCCTGTAGTATTCTCTTTTTGTGTTTGTCTTTACCTGGTTTGGGCATGCAGATAAACACTGACTTTGGAAAATACATGGGGAAGTTCATCCCCCGAATTTCAACTTTTATTAGAATAATTCAAGAAAAGAGGCTATACTTGTGAGGAGACAGGAGATCCAAAGGCCTCTGCCTAGCCAGCTTAGCCAAAACAGAAATTTTCTGTTCTGCCAAGCAAATGGGCCACAGGTCCTTGACTTCACTTACTCAAAGATCTGTAATACTCCCTAAGTGGCTCCCAGCATAGCACCCTCTCTACCTTACTGGAATGTAGGTATGTGATATGTGATTTACCCACCTACCTCAATGGACTGCTGATTCTACCAGAGCAATAGGGTTTCCTAGCCAAACCTGCAGTGTCTAGCTAGCAGAAGCTAACTCCCCAGAAAGACTTGTGAATGGTCACAGAAAGGAACTGTTGGATGGGATGCAGATGGCCATCTAAATAAACGAGTGGATGTGTACTTGGGTGTGTATATGTGTATGTGTATGGTTAGGCAAATGTGCAACTTGCCCCTGCTGCCTCAGCCTACCCACTGCTGCTTTGTCCAGAGGTCGTACATCTTCTCCTGGGCCTCCTCACATAACCTCTTTGCCTCCTCATGGGACTCTTGCAGCAAAATCTGCTCCTCCTGCAGCTTTTTATTGTCCTCTTAACATGCTCACTTTTTCCTTCAACTGTGTCCATTCACTCAGAAACAAGCTGTGAAGGATCCTTAACCCATCACAAAACACGATGAGCTCCAGTCATCCTCCACCTGCCACTCCTCCCTCCTAATACCACCATCCCTGCAAGGTCCCATGTCCTCAGACAGCCACAGGCTGGAGCCTGTATTAGCCATGCCAACATCACCAAGGTGCAGGCCAAATCCAGAGAACAGCCAAATTCCAGAAAGATTCAAACTACTTCTGAAGATCCTGACACCAAAAGGGATCTATGTACCTCTGAAAACAGGATCCAATACCTGCCTCCCCCCAAAAAAAAACACACCAGTGCTTACTTGGTCATGGTATTGGGAAAACATCATCAAGTAGATGGCATAACCTCTGAAGGAGGACAGAGGACCCAACAGAAATACATTCCTTCTACATGTCCCATAGAAACAGGCTCTGTAAGCCCTCACCAGAAACCATTGATGGTGCAAACCATGTATTATATCCAGAAGCTCCAGAGGCTGACAGGAAAATGTTGGGAGGGCCTCTCAGACTCCTTGCCCTTAGGAGAACTCAGTCTAGGAGGCACAAGTCCAAGAGCTATAAGACAGGCTTCTTGCTTAGAGGTAAACAGGCTAGAACCACAGTCCTCACTTGGGTTCAGAGACAAAGAAGGGCAGAAGCTGTCCTGCCCAAGGGCTTGGGTCCCATCCAAGTCAGACACTCACTGGTCAAAGCTGGACTTCTCAGTCAGGTCCTTGCACTTGTACAAGGCCTCACTACTTTCCTTGGGGAATTTCTTCAGATATGACATCTCCTCCTGGTGTTCCATTTTCAGCATATCAAGCTCAGAATTCAGCCTGTGATGGGGAATGTACTGTGTATGTTCATCTTATTGATTATTGAATAAAATACTGTTTGGCCAATGAAACAGCAAGTTAGACAGTACTAGGAGTCAAAGAGGATTCTGGGAAATGTAGTAGAGAAGTTGTGATCCAGGCCGGAAGTGACATAGCAAGGAGACTCATATTTAGCAAGGAAACAGGAAGTGATGCTCTTTCCCCTTTGCCTCCTACAGCGGCAGGATGTGAGCCACCAGCAAGAAGGGCTGCCAATAAAGCATCCGATAAGATAAGTCTTATAAAATATATAGATTTATGATAAATAAGACTGAGCTAACAGATGAGAATCCTAGTCATTGGCCAAGCAGCATTGTACCTAATACAAGTCTCTCTGTGTATTAATTTGGGCCCTAACTCGGGTGGGCAGCTGGTGTAAAGCACACATGTGGCGGTGGGGCTCGGTGGCTTATGGCGGAAAGATTTATCGTAACAAGCCTGTGGTAGGGCATGGCCCTAGGAACAAAGAACCCCATGAACACAGTCCTCTGGGATGACATGAATTAAGCCTGTGTCTGTAACTACCCTAGCCCACTGGATGTCACATCCTGAATCCTATGTACTGGGACCTCCTGATGTTCATTTTTATTAGACTTGCTACCCTGCCCCAGGGCCAGAAAGGCAGGGTGTGAAGAGGGAAAGAGCTCCCTCAGTAGTCCTGGAGGGATAGACTAGCTTTTAAGAAGGTCCCAGGAGTATGTGCCACAGGTATGGGCCTACCTAAAACCTGTGATGACATTTCTCCTGTCTTCAGAACATGGATTGTTTATCCTGTCTTCCTATTGCTACAAGGATGCCAAGAATTCATAATCAATATTTCTATGGAGGAGACACTACATGAGGTTAGCATTGTAAACTCCCAAGCAGATTCAGATGATGCACCAAAGTGAGCACAAAGCCTGTGAGCAGTGATGCTCAAAGTGTGGCTCCCTGGCTTCAGCACTTATATCACCTGGAAACTCTGAGACCCACAAATCCTAAGCCCTGCTACCAATCACTGCCTCACAGGATCTGGATACACACACACACACACACACACACACACACACACACACACTATAAGGGAGTCCCTGAAAGACATTACAGAACATACTCAGACACTACAGCACAAAGGAGATTTATTACCTCAGGAGGGTAAGAATGAGATTAGGGAAAGCTGACATCTGCACCACACAAGAATAGATATCAAACAGGTTTTCTTTTTTAAAGAGAAGAGGTGGAAGTCTGTGCTAGGGTAAGTTGGTGAAATCTAATTCAACAGGTTAGTTAGTGTAACCAACTACTGAATTTTGATTGCTGGACTGTGGTGCATAGTCTCAGTAGCCAAATACAAGAATGGACCTTGGAAACTAAATTTAGGAATGCAATCTATTGGTATATCAGGGGAGAGGGAAGTGAAAAGAGCAAAACCTGCTGCTGCCATATTTGCAGTATTGGGACCGGTTAGAGAGACCTTCACACACAAACACAAAACCCATACAGAATTATTATGTCAAAGAAATGCAGATTGGTGGCCTTGTCATTGAGTGCAAGGAACAAGATCAGAGAGGACCTGGGATGAGCTCCAGGCATTCCAGTCACACACCCAGATGGACCAAGTAGGGCAAGCCCTTCAACCTGCTCCCAGAACAACCAGCAAAAAAAATCACCTGGTCAAATTCAAAGACTCACCATAAACCCATAGCACCCAGCACCTCCCACAAGCCAAACCTATCAAGCCTTCTTGAAATGCATGTTGTAAGCTCATACACAACTGCCCCTAACAGTTGAATGTGACTCAAGCCACAGGCTCTGCTTTTCTTTTGGAGGAAGCAGAACAGCCTGTATCCCCATCTCACTCCTGCCCAGGCTTTAGTTCTGCCTCAGATGTACTCAGGAAAATTTGTTTGGGCAGAAGGAGGTGGAGCCTGCAATGACCTGAGGAATGCTGCGCTTGCCATAGGAGGGTCAAGACAGTCACAGAGAATGGGAAATGATGAATACCTGTTGTTCAAATCATTGCTGGTATAATGGGTCAGGAGTACATGTAGTTCATTCCTCTCCTTGTCATCATCTTTAGATGAAGGGTCAATTTTCCCACCTTGTTCAGCACATGCTCCTGCTCAGTGACGAAGGAGGGTGTCTATGGGGCCTTCCCAGAAGTCCTGTAGGTATACAAACACATGTGAATTTCTACAGCTAAATGGCATAGGGCTAACAAAAATCATGTGGATTCCCAAGAAGCAGCCTGAGAAAGAGGAAATACATGGAAGCCAGGGAAGCCCTCAAAGATCAGAGCAGCTATTCTTAAGTTGGAGTCCATAAGCCATGTCTCTGTCTCCAATCACCAGGACTAGATATGTGTCTCATCCTGTATTCTAGCCCCACTGGCCCTGGAAGATGTAATGAAGAGGGATGTCCTTCTGTATGCTGTGAGTATGTTTCTCTTACTGGTTGATGAATAAATGCTGATTGGCCAGTAGCCAGGCAGGAAGTATAGGCAGGGCCACCAGATTAGGAGAATTCTGGAAAGAGGAAGGAAGACAGAGAGAGAGCCAACAAAGAAAGGCCATGTAGCTACTTAAACAAGGACAGTTATACATTAACAAGGTATCCAAAAAGGTCTAACAAAGAAAATTTACACACTACGCCATATATCTTTTGTGTGTGTGTGTGTGGGGGGGTTTCGAGACAGGGTTTCTCTGTGGTTTTGGAGGCTGTCCTGGAACTAGCTCTGTAGACCAAGCTGGTCTCGAACTCACAAAGATCTGCCTACCTCTGCCTCCTGAGTGCTGGGATTAAAGGCATGCGCCACCACTGCCCAGCAATTTATTTATTTTCAATATATACCGTAAGTCCAAACATCTATCACCACCACTACCCCTTAGTTGCCCACTGGTATATATTCAGATACAGATTCATACACTCTAGTCTATGCCAGCTGTCTTACCTGAAGGCATCAACTGTTTCCTAGCAAGAATCCTTCCTGTATCTTTGGATTTGTTTTCTTTAAGGAAGCAGGGGATTGTTTTTAAATATACACATTACCATCTTCTTAGTCTCCTGTCTTTGAAACAAACTCTGAAGGGCTCTTCTCTTTCTCTGCCATTCCCAATATGGAAACCACCACAGAAGTTACCAGTGAAACATAAATTTGATAATTTTACTTATGTCCAAATCTATTAAAGCTGTATGTAGCACATACAGTTTTAACCTCAGAACTACTAATATTGTGGGCTACTTCATTCTTTGCTATTTCTATTTGAGTATTGTTTTCAATCCTATGAGATTGAAAAAAAACATGTAACAGTATATTTAAAAAGATTTGGAGTGGCATTACTCACAAAGAAGTCTTGGGCCATACAGTGAGACAATGTGTCTGGAGCTCAGAGTTTAAGGGCATCAGGATATGGATAAGGCTTTATGGATGTCATATAAAAGTAAAACTTGAGAACTGAGTGTAATGGTGTTTGCCTTTAATATCACATCTTCACATGGTTGAAAGAGCAAGGTAGATCTCTGTGAGTTCAAGCTAGTCTGATTTAAACAGTGAATTCTAGCACAATAATGGCTACATAAAGAGACAAACCCTATCACAATAAAATAAATAAAAATCATGTCGAAATGTGAAGTGAACCAAGTATTGGTGTTGCTCAGAAACCTGAAAAAGATTCTTCATAATCTTTCAAATCAGCAAGGGTAGCTTCCTCAGCTCCAAGAGGAAGGAAAATTTAACTGGAAGGCAAGAGATGTGCATATCTAAGTAGTCCAGTCAAACTGTGGCCTCTTGCTTTATTATTTCCTACCTACAGTCTCTGACCCAAGATCAAGGAAGACTTAATGATGTTTACCTTCTGATTCTTTCATTTTTTATAGGGATGGGAATTTTTCTTGCTGGTAAGTCTGTGCATCATTATGGTGCCAGGTACCTTTAGAGGACAGATGTGGGCATCAGGGTCTGTGAGACTGGAGATTCAAGAACTCAGATGAATGAATGAGAAAGAGAGAAAGAGAAAGAGAGAGGGAGAGAGACAGATTGATTAAGTAAATGAAAATGAAAACACAACACTACACAAACCCTGGCACACAGTAGAATCAGTCCAATGAAGATATTTGTAGCTCTAATTACCTACCTTTAATAAATATAAGAGCATAAAAAGTTGAATTTGATACACAGTTCAAAAATCGGGAAAAATGCAAGCAAATCTAACACAAACCCATTAGATGGCAAATAATAACAATCAAAGCCGACATATAAAATGCAGAAAAATTCTTGATGAAATCAACCATGCCTTCATGATCAAAGTTCTACAGATACTAGGACTATAGGGAATATGTGTCTGTAAATAAAAGATAGACTTTCGGGGATTATTTATTTATTTATTTGGTTTGTCTGAGGGTTTTTTGGCCTTTTTTTGATAGGGTTTCTCTTAGTGTATCTCTTGCTGTGCTGAAACTCACTCTGTAGGCCAGGTTGGCCTCAAACTCATTAGGACCTGCCTGCTTCTACCTCTGGGAGTACTGGGATTAAAAATTGTGCATGTAGAACTACACAAGGCCGTGAAAAAAGGACTGGACTCATGAACTCATGAACTCATGAGTTCACAAACTCACTAACAAAGAATGAATAAAGGAAAGGTCACAATTTAACCAATTAACTCTAAAGATGGTATTTAGCAACCTGTTATGAATTTTTCATGAGGAAACGAGATGGTTCCCAACAGGATCAGCATGCTATACACTTCCTGCTTTTGTTTTTTGTTTTTTTTGTCAAATGTCATTGGTCAATTAAAAAACAAATTTAGAATGATTAATAGGAGTCTACTAACCAGAGACATAGGGCCACTGCTTTCACTTGCCTCCTCCCTGTCATTTGGAGTAGAAGACCATAATAAAACCAAAGAAAATTATATGTGTGCTCAGCCATAGTTACGTCTGGAGGAAGCCCACTTTACAGGAATGTTTCTCTCTCTCTCTCTCTCTCTCTCTCTCTCTCTCTCTCTCTCTCTCTATCTCTCTCTTTCTAAATAGATGGTGTAACCCTGGAAGTCAGTTTCTTATGGCAGGCAGAGTCAAAGAGGCTACAGATAGACTGAAGTGTAGAGGACGATTTATGAACATTAGAGAGCAGCATGAGGTGGAGACTGGAAAGGTGTCTCAGCTGTAAAAGCACTTGATGTTTTTTCCAGAGGATCTGGTTTTGTTTCCCAGGATCCATAAAGAGGCTAACAGCCACCTGTACCGCAGTTCCCGGGTAGGCAATGCTGTCTTCTGGACTCTGTCCATAACTGACAAGCATGTGGTACACCTATCTATAGAAACAGACAGAATACTCATAGACATAATATAATAACATAAAATTGAAAGGAGGAGGAAAAGAGAGGAGAGAGAGAAAAGAGACAGAGAGAGAGAGAGAAAGAGGAGAGAGAGTCAGTTTTATAATTAATGTAGGTCTTTGTGTGTTCATTTGGGGCTGGAAATGGCAGTGGGACTTGGTGGGACAAGCAAAACTGCCAGCAACAAAATGGCGTAATTTTGCTATGTTAAAGTTAAAAATCTTCTTTTTATTTAGACAGAAAAGAGGACATGATGGGGGATATCCTTCTGTGTATATGTTTCTCTTATTGGTTGATGAATGAAACACTGTTTGGCTAGTGACCAAGCAGGTGGGGCTACCAGACTAGGAGATGAGGAGAATTCTGATAGAGGTAGGTAGAGAGGGAGCCCGGCCAAAACAGACCCCATGTAGCTCACCAAAGGAGTAACAGGTCTAGGCAATCTCTGGTGAGCCAAGACCACATGGAAATACTTAGATTAATAGAAATGTGATTCTAATTAAGACAGAGCTAGCCAATAAGAAGCCACTAGTCATTAGTCAACAGTTGTAATTAATAAAGTGTTTGTGTGTTTATTTGGGGTTGAGGTGGCTGTGAGACCAGGTTGATGGGAAAGAAAACTCTGCAACAAAATGGTATACAAAGTTGCTCACCATAGCCTAAAGAGGACTCATTCCCTCTTCAATATTGTCCTTGAAGTTCTATCTGGAGAAATAAGACAACAAAAGGAGATTAAGGGAAATCGGAATACAAATTGGAATACAAATCGGAATACAAAAAATACAAATTGGAAAGGAAGAAGTCAAACTCTCACTATTTGCAGATGATATGATAGTCTACATAAGTGACCGGAAAAACTCAACCAGGGAACTCCTACAGCTGATAAACACCTTCAGCAAAGTGGCAGGATACAAGATTAACTCAAAAAAATCTGTAGCCCTACTATATACAGATGACACAGTGGTGAAGAAAAAAATCAGAGAAGCATCACCCTTTACAATTGCCACAAACAACATAAAATAGCTTGGGGCAACACAAACCAAAGAAGTGAAAGACCTGTACCATAAGAATTTTGAGTCTCTAAAGAAAGAAATTAAAGAAGATACCAGAAAATGGAAAGATCTCCCATGCTCTTGGATAGGCAGGCTCAACATAGTAAAAATGACAATCTTACCAAAAGCAATCTACAGATTCAATGCAATTCCCATCAAAATCCCAACACAATTCTTCACTGACCTTGAAAGAACAATTCTCAACTTTATGTGGAGAAACAAAAGACCCAGGATAGCCAAAACAACCCTGTACAATAGAGGAACTTCTGGAGGCATCACCATCCCTAACTTTAAGCTCTATTACAGAGCTATAGTCCTGAAAACAGCTTGGTATTGGCACAAAAATAGACAGGTAGACCAATGGAAGAGAATTGAAAACCCTGATATTAACCCACACACCTACGAACACCTGATTTTTGACAAACAATCCAAATATATATGCTGGAAGAAAGAGAACGTTTTCAACAAATGGTGCTGGCATAACTGGATGCTGGCATGTAGAAGACTGCAGATAGATCCATGTCTATTGCATGAACAAAACTTAAGTCCAAATGGATCAAAGACCTCAACATAAACCCAGCCACACTGAACCTATTAGAAGATAAAGTGGGAAATACCCTTGAATTAATTGGTACAGGAGACCTCTTCCTGAACATAACACCAGTAGCACAGACACTGAGATCAACAATTAATAAATGGGACCTCCTGAAACTAAGAAGCTTCTGTAAGGCAAAGGTATAGTCAGCAAGACAAAACGACTGCCCACAGACTGGGAAAAGATATTCACCAACCCCACATCTGACAGAGAGCTGATCTCCAAAATATACAAAGAACTCAAGAAGCAGGCATGGTCAGGCAGACCTGTAGCCAGCCCCTAAGCAGGCATGGCTACAGGTTCCCCTACAATGGCCTTTTTGAGAAAAGGCTTTACCACATTGGTTACATTCATATGGTTTCTCTCCAGTATGTGTTATTTTGTGCTTCTTAAGATCACCATGACTTGCAAAGCTTTACCACACTGATTACATTTATAGGGTCTCTCTC